GGCAGAATGGGGTTGGACTGGATGATGGCCCAGGAGGTCTCTTCCAACTCTAGGATTCTAGGATTTTAAGAAGGAGCCTCCACCATAGGGAGTTCCACTGCTGAACGGCTCTCCTTACAGCCAGGAAGTTCTTCCTCATGTTCAGGTGGAATCCCCTCTCTTGTAGTTTGAAGCCATTCTTCCATTGCGTCCTAGTCTCTCTCCAGGGAAGCCGAAAGGAAGCTTGCTCCCTCCTCCTCCTCCTCCCTGTGACCTCCTCTCACATATTTATTTATCCATGGCCCTCATCATGTGTCCTCTCAGCCTTCTCAGTGCGTGTTTTATTCTAGCGTCCTAATGCCCCAAAACCCAGGTGCAAAATAGTCTCAAACCAATAGCCAAGATAAACAGGACTCCAGCAGCAGCGCACCAGAAATCCAGCCCCCACCACACTGTATTGAAAAACCTCAACCAGTTCTAGCCCCTTGGGCGTGGCACAAGATTGCTGCTTGACCTGCTTAGCCAGATGAACAAGGTAATTACAAACAAGAAGGTTTTTCTTCACACATATACTTGTGTCCTGCGAGGACTTACCGTAACAGAGGTGACGCACAAATCAGGAACGAAGTCATCATGCTGGTTATTCACTGAAACCCATTATCCTGAGTGAATCATTGCCTCTCTTCTGTCCATTTAGTCACAATTGGGATTGTCTTCCTACAAACCTTCCTTCCACCAATCTGTCTTTCCCTCCCTTATTCCTTCCTTGCTTTTCTTCCCTCCTTCCTTGTCCTGTGTTTGTTGAATCGCTTTTGAACCAGGACCAACCTTTCTCTCTGTTGTGTTCACTTAGAGCGTCTGGATCTGTTCTTTGTTTTTTATGAGCCTGTCGTTGCTTTTTCTGGTTTCTATGTCCATCCTTGAGACACTTAATTCCCCTATTTCGTGGTATTTCCATTTTCGACAGGATCCATGCAGGAAAAGAGGATAATGTTGGAGGTAAAGGAGGTTTGGGACTTCACGTTTAACCCTTTGTTTCTTCTTTCTTGACCAGAGACGTGAAGGCTTTATGGAGCCACTTCTGGCATGACGAGAAGCAAACCAGCTTCTAGTGGATATTGAGGAATCTGGAAACCAAAGTGCATTAGAGTAAAAGGATCGTCTTAAGGTGCTGATCTGGCATTAGATCAGAAACAGAAAAACAAGAGTCAAGTGTCCATATTGGAATTATATGTACATAACACTGTCTACATGGAGGAGAAGGCTTTTAAATGTATTGAATGTGGGAAGAGCTTTAGTCATCATGGACATCTGAAGAGACATCAGAGAATTCACACTGGAGAGAAACCCTATAAATGCCTGGAATGCGGAATGAGCTTCACTCAGAGGGGAAATCTACACTCACATCAAAGGACTCACACTGGAGAGAAACCCTATAAATGCCTGGAGTGTGGACAGAGCTTCGGTCAGAGTGCACATTTACATTTACATCAAAGGACTCACACTGGGGAGAAACCCTATAAATGCCTGGAGTGTGGAATAAGCTTCACTCAGAGGGGAAATCTACATTCACATCAAAGGACTCACACTGGGGAGAAACCCTATAAATGCCTTGAGTGTGGACAGAGTTTCAACCAGAGTGCACATCTGCGTTCTCATCAAAGGACTCACACTGGGGAGAAACCCTATAAGTGCATGGAGTGCGGAGAGAGCTTCGCTCGGAATGGGAGTCTGTGTTCACATCAATGGACTCACACTGGGGAGAAACCCTACAAATGTCTGGATTGTGGACAGAGCTTTACTCGTAGGGAATATCTACGCTCACATCAAAGCGCTCACACTGGGGAGAAACCTTATACATGCCTCAAGTGTGGAATGAGCTTCACTCAGAGTGGCAGTCTACGTACACATGAAAGGACTCACACTGGGGAGAAACCCTATATATGCCTGGAGTGTGGAATGAGCTTCTCTCGGAGTGGAAGCCTACATTCACATCGAAGGACTCACAGTGGCGAGAAACCCTATAAATGCCTGGAGTGTGGGATGGGCTTTGCTCGGAGTGGAAGTCTACTTTCACATCAAACGATTCACACTGGGGAGAAACCCTATACGTGCCTGGAATGTGGAAAGAGCTTTACTCAGATGAGACGTTTACATTCACATCAAAGTACTCACACTGGGTAGAAACCCAATACATGCCTAGAGTGTGGAATGGACTTCTGTCAGAATGAATATCTACTCACACTGGGGAGAAACTTGTATACACCCGGAATGTGGAATGAGCTTTATTCAAAGGGGTCATGTATGTTCATATCGAAACTCACGCTGGGGAGAATCATAGAATCCTAGAGTGGGAAGAGACCTCCTGGGCCATCATCCAGTCCAACCCCATTCTGCCAAGAAGCAGGAAAATTGCATTCAAAGCACCCCTGACAGATGGCCACCCAGCCTCTGTTTCAAAGCTTCCAAAGAAGGAGCCTCCACCACACTCCAGGGCAGAGAGTTCCACTGCTGAACAGCTCTCACAGGAAGTTCTTCCTAATGTTCGGGTAGAATCTGCTTTCCTGTAGTTTGAAGCCATTGCTCCATCTCATCCTAGTCTCCAGGGCAGCACAAAACCAGTTTACTCTCTCCTCCCTGTGACTTCCCTTCACATATTTATACATGGCTATCATGTTGCCTCTTGGCCTTCTCTTTTGCAGGCAAAACATGCCCAGCTCCTTAAGCCACTCCTCATAGGGCTTGTTCTCCAGACCCTTGATCATTTTAGTCGCCCTTCTCTGGACACATTCCAGCTTGTCAATATCTCTCTTCAATTGTGTTGCCCAGAATTGGACGCAATATTCCAGGTGTGAAATCCTGTTAATGCAAGGAGTGTGGAAAGGACTTTACAACAAGTGACAGTCTACATCTAATGGCTTCAAACTACAAGAGAGGAGATTCCATCTGAACATGAGGAGGAACTTCCTGTCTGTGAGAGCCATTCAGCAGTGGAACTCTCTGCCCCGGAGGGAGTGTGGTGGAGGCTCCTTCTTTGGAAGCTTTTAAGCAGAGGCTGGCTGGCCATCTGTCAGGGGTGCTTTGAAGGGAATAGAGCTTAAGGAGATTCCACCTGAACATGAGGAAGAACTTCCTGACTGTGAGAGCCGTTCAGCAGTGGAACTCTCTGCCCCAGAGGGAGTGTGGTGGAGGCTCCTTCTTTGGAAGCTTTGAAACAGAGGCTGGATGGTCATCTGTCAGGGGTGATTTGAATGCAATATTCCTGCTTCTTGGCAGAATGGGGTTGGACTGGATGATGATGGCCCAGGAGGTCTCTTCCAACTCTTGGATTCTATACATAGACATTTACACTGGTGAGAATTGTGATGATTGACACCAGAGAGTAAATGTTGGAAATGTTGGAAATGCAAGCACAAAGTTGGTGACATTTTATCACATGAGGCGTGTTGTAGGAAAATTGAGATTCTGAACTAGAGATTTATTTGTTGAGAATGCTGGACGATCAAGTAGAAAGATGGGTTTGTTTGTTGATTAGTCCTCTGACGATATCAACAGCAAAAAACAAGTACACAAAGACACAACAAACACACATTCCCATCCCGGCACTCCTGTAATAGTTAAAATACATTTAAGCACTTAAAACTTAATTAAATAATAAATCAGATTAAATTAAATTACAAAATGAATTTAGATACTGCCGAAGGCTTTCATGGCCGGAATCACTGGGTTGTTGTAGGTTTTTTCGGGCTCTCTGGCCATGGTCTAGAGCAGGGGTCCCCAAACTTTTTGAACAGAGGGCCGGGTCAGTCCCGCAAACTGTTGGCGGGCCGGATTATAATTTGAAAAAAA